AAAACCCCCCGTGTGATAAACCCGCTCTCTGGTTGTTGTTTATGCGTTCATTAATTTCAGGGCTGAGTCGCTAGGACACAGATGTCATCTTTCAGCCCAATTTAATACTAATAATTAGCTTCGTAGTGCACTTCTGAAATGTAGTTCTCAAGTGCTTTGTCAAATGCTTGTCTTGATCAGTGAGCTTGCTTCGTTTTAAATTAATACCTTATTCTGCTTATGCCTCCAGTTAAGTTCTTATCTCTTGACCCAATCTGGAAAATAGGAAACTGGTGCGTGTGGGGCGGTCTTGTCTTCTGCCAGTTAGCAAAGATCCTTTTCATGAAACACTTTTATCATTATTTTTAAAGTAATACTCTTATTTTTTTTCTTTGGACAGTGTTAATGTGCCGAGGGAAGGCAATGCAGGATTTTAAAGGCCCAGATTGTCGCTTTGTAAATTTTAAGAAGGGAGAAGCAGTGTACGTATATTATAAACTAATAGGAAAATCAACCGAGCTTTGGGCTGGAAGTGTAAGTACCCTAAAGCATTTGTTCTGCTGCTTCTTCTCATTGCTTTCTGTTGGTAATATTTTTCCCTTTCTTTTGCCTCATAGGAGAACACTTAGGGTTTTGAACATAGCTAAATAACATAATGAATGCCATTTTGTCTTGAGACCAGTGTGAAACAGGGTGCGGTTTGATCAAACCTAAGGCATTAAGTGCTGTGAAAAATGGGCAACACTAATGTGTGCTAAAAACTGTTAGAAAACTGCCTTTGTGTTGAAAACCTCCCATTGCAGCACTGTAAATGGTGGCCCGTGAGCCTTCCTGGAAGCTGAGCCTCCCTTCCCATCTAGGGAGGCTGAAGCCTGGGCTTGTGTTTTACCCCTGACTTGTTTTCATCCTGCACTCTGTAATCCTGCTAAAAATCGTTCCATGTATATGTTTTAATTATGTTTCTCGTCCTAATATTTATCAGCTATCTTCCCCTTTTTTATCTAAGCTGCATGCAGAATTGGGAGGAAGAAAAGTAGTAAAACTAAAAGGAATTAAGGCAAATTCGATTTTTAAAAGGTCTGTCAGCTTTAGAAACATGTAGCAGCCTTGTCTGACTCATTGACTTCTCTGGGGGATTAAAAGAGGGCTGATGGGAAAGGAGGGTCCTCATACTTGCAGTTATTTCATAGAAAACTTATCTTGGCTTTCATGATAAACACCTTTGCCTGACAGAAGCAGAACTGAGCTACTCTGGAGGAAGAGTCATTTTTGTGGATTTCCTTTGAAAATGCTGGCAGTCTGGAGGTTGTTTAGACCTCATCCCTTTTGCCCCCTTTCCATGCTTTCCTCACATACCTTTTTGTGTCCAAATAATTTACAGATCCTTTCTCACTCTGGTTTCCTACAAGGGATAGACAATTGCCTGTGCAAGTGGTCTAGGCTGCTGGAAGCCACACCTGGGTGTTGACAGTGGCACTAGTGGTTTAGTGGAAAGCAGGATATATCACTTTCTCTAACCTGTTCAGGCTGGGTGTGAACAGCCAAGCTCTCAGCAGAAGCTGAATCCAATTAGAATGATACAGAAGAGAGCAGAAAACTGCAGCACGTGGTTAAAGAAGAGTTTATAATTGTATGCTGGTAATTCCCTTCTGACATGTACTGTACCATAAATAATCTGGTTAATTAGCCAGTACAGGTTTCCAGGGCTGCCAGTTTTTGAGACACAGAAGTAGCAATGTGGGGCCAATTTTGCATCTTCTAACAAAGTGTAGCGCAGGTTGCAAGATCAAACAGCAGGTTTAAGGTAATTGCTGAGTTAATATTCAGTTTAACTATTCACTGATAGTAAGCTCATGTAACAGTTAGGTGTGTCTCCAAGTTAAAAGGATGTTTGTTTTGAGTTTAACAAGTAAAAGATGAAGTTGGCAGGTGTAAAAGAATTGCAAAGCTCCATTTTATTTGTTGTCGTTTTTTAATTGTGTTACACTATTTTATATGTTCCTTTCCAGGGTAGTGATGACAGACTAATTCCTTTCAGTTGGTGGCTATAATTATTTCTTTTTTTCACCAGTTTGATTGACTGCTTCTGCATTAATCATAATGCTGCAACAACAGCGTGCAAGTGCTGCAGCAGGTTCAGAGGTGCCTACCCTTGCATGCTGAGTAGGGCACTTGGCACATCTGACCCTGCCCCTGACTTGCAGATAGTTCTGGGGTCTCTCTCGGGCAGCGTGACTTCCCGTGCCAGATTTGGCTGTGGGCAACTTGATTTATGCAGACCAGCCGTGCCTGCTGTGTGCAGTCTTGGAGCTAGGGGGAGGCTGTTGCTTGCTAATTAAAAACAGGCTACCCAGCAAGGTCTGCGATCAAACAGATTCCGGTGGAAGGCACAAGGCACTTTATCTTCTGCCACAGCCCTTTTGGGATCTCATTGCACAACTTGTATGTGTGCTCATGTGTATCATTTGATCCCATGCATCTACCCTGCTGCCTTTTTCCATTCCCCGATGTTTTCGGTGCAAGTATTTATTATGGCATAATGGAAATGATGAAATCGAGGGATAACTGGTATTCCAGTCTTCAGTTGAGGGCAGATTGTAAGGGACTGTGTGTATGAGAAACTTCAACTACTTTAGCCTGGGGCTTATTTCAAACAAACTGTAAATATAGGCTTTAATCCTGAAATCGATTTTGAAGAGCCAATAGTATTTCTGACCTGAAGGGAGATGATCTGATAAGAAAGGGGCCTTTCACCAAGGCTGAAAAATCTATAGCAGTTGGGTCTGGGCTTTATTTGATTTAGCTTTTCTAATTCACTCCACCCTCTTCAAGCCATTGTTGACTTTTTTTTTTTTTTTCCTCCCCTCTGTGCCAGCAAACATACTGTATTTTAACAATATAGATTGTTTATTTTCTGATCCCAGTCCTGGATACTTTATTGCTTGCAGAACTCCCATTGACCTCAGTGATTATTTTGTAGATGAAAAAATTCTGGAATCCAGCTATAATACATATTCTAAACACTGTATAGCTTGCAGTTTTTAGCAGAGCTGTATAAACCTCATTAATAAGGCAAAACCAAATGCTTGAACAATATTCTATGACCATTATTTAATAGTAATTTTATGTTAGGAATTTCATGCATATGTCAGTTCCTGGAAAATACTTGATTTTTTTCCCAGAGCTGAAGCACACCTGATACTCTTACTGTCCAATGCACTGTGTCCTGCTCTAAAATGACTGTCCACTTCAGCATCCACCTCTTTGTTTACACCATCAAGTTGTGCTATGTAGACTTTCCTCCTAGGCATTTCTCCTGCACTCTGCCCTCATCTTTGGCAGGGTTCAGAACTCCAAAACTACTTCAGATAATTCCATGTAAAAACTGCTGGGTTTTAACAAAACATTTCAGCAGAGACACTTTAAATTATTGGTGCAGAAGATTGCTATTTTATCTTATGTCAAAGGGCCGAACTTCATTCCTTTGATTTGAGGTTGAGAAAACTATTTCTGGCCTCATGTTACATGAAATGGACATGATTACAGATCGTGGCCAAGGATTTGTAGAGGGTATTTTTTTGTTTTCAAACCTTATACATACCAAAATAAAAAGGAAGACAGGAGGGCTGAATTTAAGACAGGAAGACAGTGTATGTCTGGAGGACCCAAAGGATCAGGGAATTCTTTACTATTTGATTTCTTAACAATATCAGTGTTCAGCAAGGATAGACCAACTCTTCTTTGACCGTTGTTCTGCAGTTTTAGGTACCTATGATGCCTGTGCTTTAGGGATGTGGGCTTTAAGGTTAAAAACATTTGAACATCTCATTTCCCAGCTGTCTGTGATCTGTCACTGAGGTAGGTGGTGTGAGGATCTGACCTCTTCGTTGGTGGTGGTCAGCAAATGGGTCACTGCTGGCTGTCACACGTTGGCACTGGTGGGGACAGATGCTGTACACACAGCTACGTGTTTTGTCCACCCACATTTTAGCTGGGAAGGGAATAGAAATGAAGGATGCACTTTTTTCTCCCTTATTTACTTGGCATTCATAATGCTTTTCCTCTATCATCTGTAGAGAATGAAGAATGTTTCCTTTATTTGCACAATGAGGCATTTTTTCCCTTACAAGAGAGGATTTGTAGGGAGAGGAGCAGATGAAATTTTGGGCATGCAGATCCCATATGGCTCATAAACCACATAAGTGGCAAACTGGGTCACTGCAGAGGACTTACATGGTCAGCAGCTTGGATTACACTAAATGAGTTAGAAAGTGTGATGTCTAATTATAATGGTAGTCACGGAGATTTGTCTGTAAGGAGGCTACTTTGAAGCTTTGACTTTGTTTTCAGAAGGATCATTTAAAACTGGAATAGAAGTTTGTAGAGAGAAACAAGCCAACTTAGAATAAAATGGTTGTATACTGCATAAGGGCAAGCTTTTGATTTGAATTGTCTGGTTTAATTTCCCATTCCCACTAATTCTCAATAATAAACCTACATACATTATCTCTTTTCCATAAGAGAGTATCTCAATGTGTTTAGAAAAGGTGGGGAGGTAATAGATTGATTTATTTTTTTTTTATATATAAATAACTTCAGAGGTATCAACTATGGAAGGTAAGATTTGAATGAGAAATAGTTAAGAAAGGAAGACCTATAATGTATCATGCTTGTTTTGCTTGCATTCCCCCCCCCCCCCC